TCAATCACATAAAAATCAAACAAAATGTGCAATAATGGAAAAGGCCGGTTTATTTATTTGATTTTTTTACTCGTCAGTGGAGCCTCATCATGGAGCCAATGGGCAGACGATCTCATAAGAAAAGAGGACATAAAAAGAAGAGATCCTAATTGTTACATTCGCTTCAATCTTTCGCCAACATAGCTGCAAGCTCGATGAAATTCATTTACCCATTATCTCCTGGCAATGAAGTAATTAAAGCGTGATCACAGAAAACCAAATGTGATCACTCAGTACAATTAAGTTGTAAAATGAAGACAAGATATGTGAGGGGAGGAAAAAAAAAAGTCAGCTCCTAGTTTCTGCACCAGAAAATTGTGTCGACTGATGTTATTAAACACATCGCATTACTTTAAGCTCTTTGCCCTAATCATAAAGTGTGGTTATGGTTTTAAAACACGTCTTAGCAGCGGGTGGTACCCTTTGAATCACTTCTACAAGTGTGTGTGAGTCAGCTTTTTAAATGGGGGGAATGTGGATGTAGTACAAAGAGCTACTGTGCTGCTGTGTTAATTGCAAAAAAGAGGAAGCTAATTAAAGCTAACATGGAGCCGAAGGTGTGAGTGAGAGGGAAAAAAAAAAAAACATGGAAGAAAAGGGTCATTTTCAAAGTATCTCCTTGAAATGAGGAGGGAAACGCCTTTCAGTCTGCTGCTTTAACCAGCTACAGGTGAAGCAGTGCGGACGTTACAGTTGATGAGTTTAATAAAAATAGGGGGGTGAAAATGACAACAGTCACGACAGCACGTCCACTTTTGAAGTCGTCTTCAAAAATGTCTCATGGGTTTTTATCGGTGAAGAATGAATGTATGACTGCAATGCAAAAAAATAAAATAAAATACATCAAGGGTGAGAAGATGAAAGTTGTCATTAGGTCCAAAAAAAAAAAAAAAAGAAAAATCTTAAAACCACATTATAATCCCATTTAGATGGCATTATAACAATTATTAAAAAAAAGAATTTGGAACTTAAAGTTTCTTGTATGAGATTACTGGGTGTTTGAAAAATACGTAATTGTTACCTGCTAGGGTCTTGTAGTCAAGCAGATCAAACAGCACGATGGCCACACCGGACCATGTGAGGACCAGGGCCACAACCAGCAGCCAGGCCATGGGCGAACTGAAGGTTAAAACGACGTCGTCCAAAAACGTCCTCTGATTGGACCGGGACGGTGGGCCAGCCTCTCCACCGCTGGTCTGACCGCTCATCGTTGAAGGAAGCTGGAGACAGACTGAGGGGGAAAAAAAAAAAAAAAGCAAAAGAAACAAAGTCATTTTACACAAAATCATAATGTTTATATACAGCTGAAACCATATATTAAGGCGATGATGTGAGCAACACCGGAGTTAAATTAGGGATCAAAGGTCCTTAGTTTGACGATCGTCCAAGACGCAAGACCCATCGTGTAAGAAAAATCTTTTTTTTTTTCTTCTTTTTTTTTTTTGAAAGATCTTTTGGTATTGCTGAATCATAAGCAGACTGTATCATGTAGTGCTGGAGTCGTCCCACAATAAATTCACGTCGGCGAAGCCAGAACTGCGCAACTTCAGTCTGTGCAAACTGAAATATAAACCGTATGATTAACAAGCCAACGTGCAGGAGGTGTTTATTCACGCAGATGATGGTGACTCATTAGAATATGTTCGGTTTATCCGCGCAAGTGTGCGCGATATGAGGAGGCGCGATGAATCAGAGTGAGACAAAATAATGAGAGGGGAGACAGATCACATCAACGGCGCGAGATGAATTACTCCTCCAAAGAAACTTTTCATCATCCTGCGGCAGAGGGGACGGGCTCTGATAACACGATTACGTGCAGCAAGTGTTGAGCTGCTTCACTTCATTTGTTTTTTCTGTTTCCTTGCTTGACTCCCACAGTGTACATCCGTCGTTACAAAGAGATAATTACTTCTTGTCACACGCGCGAGGGCTTCTCTCTGGAGGTCCAGCTGAAGTGTCCATTATGCCCGTCTCGTTTTCTGTGTAAAACGTTCCTGCCGATAGACATGCATTAAGGGAAAGTTCGAGCCAACTTATGCCTGCAGGCTGTGTCTCACTGTGCAAATTAGCGTATTCTATAGCTTCCACCTTTGATTGCACAGAAAAGATGAGCTTAACTGCACCTACTACGACGAGTTCACGCACAAGAAAGATGATAAAAACACTGTTCTGGTGACATCTAGCAGAAAATTCTCTATGTAATGCATATTTATTCAGAGATAATAGCCAGTGATGCATCCCCCCCCCCCTCTGTGTGACAATAAGGGCTTTCTCTACTCTAGTCTTTATCAAGAGCCGCTCAATAATAAGCACTTCACACAAGAAAACTATATATATATATATATATATATATATATATTTATAAACTTAAAAATGCAAAAAGAAAAAAAAATAAATAATGAAGAGCTGAGTGGGGAATTAGAGTTCTTGGAATAAAGCAGCGTTAGCAGGCAGAGCCAACAAACGCATGCGCAGAAGGACAGATTAAATAATATAACCATCTAAAAATTGTCAATGTTAAGAAGAAAACATGTTTAAAAAAGTTTTGGAGCTGCTTTGAAAACTTGAATGGAGCTGTCTTTGTCCACTGGCCTCCAGGAATCCTCTTGTTAGAGGTCAGCCTTTGCTCCTGTGTTTGCAGACCTGCTGTCACACCTGGAACCACATCCTCCCTATCGGTGGGCTGCATAAGCGCTTTAGTGAACCAGGGAGACGTCCTTTCCTCCTTGGCATTATTTCTGCGATGTGGTTGACTCTTTTGGTTTTATTGACATTTGCTGAACTTTTCTTTTAGAAATCATGTTTGGATGGGAAGTTTAGTTGGGGTTTTCTGCTTTTCTTTTAACATCTTTTTTTTCCCCTCTGTTTTGCGGCCAAACAGGGAGCTCAGAAATAGGAATTTAGTTTTTTTTTTTATTCAGATAGGACTTGATTTCGTTTTCAAGCCAGAAGGAGCGCTTTCCTGTGTTGTTTTGGCATTGGAGGTCTTGAAATTTTCTTCTTTATTTGTACTTCCCTTCTGTTTGTAAAGCCTTGAGCCAGTACTAAAATAAATAATTGAGGTGCTAAGATTTTTTTTTTTTTAAGTTACTGGCTTCACTTGTGTTACCCTAGACTCCATTTATAGGTTGTAAGTTAAGTGGGGGCTCATTTGAGATATCTTTGTTGAAGAAGACAAGATTGAGTTTTGGGTTTGTTTCATTATCTTTAGTGAAAACTGTGCTGGATAAGCAGCTGCTAACAGATTGTGACTTGCTTTCTGAAGCATTTTGATCCAGTCTGACATTATTCCTCAGGAATAAAATTCTGCTGTATAGGAATCACCACAGATCAGGCAAAGAGCTAAAAGGGATTCGGACTTCTACATCTGTGCCAGAATGACTCTAAAGTTCAACAAAACACGATCCGCACCATCGTGAATGCAGGGGCTGAAGCAAAACCTTGATAGTATTGAGGTTTTTATTTGATTGGTTTTCTCACCTGTCTTTGTCTCATAAACTTTTTTTTATTCTACAGTTACTCCCTTAATTAGAGATGCCATTCTTGGATCATGTTCACTGCTTGGAATCAGACTTATACATTTCATGGATACATTTATCTTTACAGCCTATTTCCATGCCCTTTTTGCCCAAGTGTCTCACTCATGGCTCACTGGTTCTCCCACAGTCATACAGAACACAAGTTAAATACCACTAAAGATCAAATGTCAACACACACACACACACACACGCACACACACACACACACACACACACACACACACACACACACACACACAAGAAAAAAAGGATGAAAGCACAAATACTTGTATTTTCAGCTCATTAGCAATTCTTAGCAAGACTCTGCCATGTAAATTAATGTTCTGTGCGATAAAGGAAGCTGTTTGGTCGAGCGCACTATTCTAAGTGATTTGGTTTTGTAGCAAAGTCTGGCCAGTAGTTTTAAGATATATCTGTTGCTAACAATGTGGAGAACTGATGTGCTTTGATTTTGTGGTTGACCTTTCCATTGCTCCATTCGTTTAACGAACTGCTAAATCAGTTTAGCGTAGCTTCACTCCCACACGCTGATGTACATTTCTGCATGCGTCTGAGCGAAAAGGGCCGAACACTGGTGTGTAAAAAAAAATAAAATAAAAAAAAATCACTGGGATGGGTAAGATATTACTGAAAGTAACTGTGCATGTGATCAAAGGATCTCCATCGATCAAAGGAAGCGCTGACCCGTTGAGCATTGTTACCAATGATTGAAGTATCATCAACGCGTCTCGCAGCAGACTGGACACAATGCTGCATTGTGCGAGTCTCCTCGCGTTGCAGTGTATCATTTTTTTCCCTTTTCAGATCAAAATCCATGCCAAAGTCTGCGGCTATTTTCTCTTTCAAATGCGTCTGTCCTCTTCGCAAATGACCCAGCCCACCTGTTGTTTCTGCTACATGCTGGGCTGATCTTCACACACGCTCATGGACACCAACTGTTGTTGCCTTGCTCGCGCCACGGGAGGGAACAGAATTAGAACAATGTGGGTGCAGTCTAGTTTCTGGCATTTGAGGGCAAATGAAAGGCAAGGAAAAACTCTTGAGAATGCGACTGACTGGGCAACGTGAGAGCGTGTTGAGCAAAATCCACACACTATCTGTTCGTCTTTTAAAGAAGTAAAAAAAGAAAAAAAAACCCCAGCGTCTCGGAATAATAAACTCGTTGTTCGCTGTTGCAGCTTAGTCACCTAAAAATGCAACACAAATTATAATATGAATGAATTTATTCATTATTCATACATTCAGTAATTATCTTGTTGTTCCTCTACAAAATCACCTTTGCTGGCATCCCTAACAATCCTTACAAAACAGGTGCAAGTGAGGTTATTTTACCTTTTTCTTTTTTTTTTCCTTTTAGAAGGACCCCTGATTTTCTCAGAGTACCTAATTGTGATGTGAGCTAAATAAATCTATTCCATTTAAAGATTAGCTCTTTTTTAGTTTGGGGTTGTGCTACTGCAACAAAAAGACACATTTATTTTCAATCAACTTTTCATAGGTGCCGATAAATGTGCAGGGTCATCCAGCGAACGAGAAACATTTTAACCAAATAATGTTTAGTTAATTGAATATTATCCTTACAGTGGGATACCTCATGTGTTTAGTTCTTACTGAAGTTACATTTCGGGGTTCTTTTCTTTTTCTTGCATTTCGTTGGACAGGTTGTCCTGAAGGAGAACAGGAGAATCATTATCACCTTTGCACAGAACCTGTGTGCAATGATCACTACAGCCTGCTAACACTGCCTTTTCTCCTGTGACACATAAAGCCGTTAAAGGAAGAGTGTACATATACTCCTAACACTGTACATTTAAGCGGATGCGGTCAATATTCACAAATAATTAAAGATGCCATTTTGAAACTACATTGTAAAATCACTTAATGTTGCAGGGAGATAGGTTAAAAAGGAAAAGAAGAGGAGAAAAAAAAAACAGTTAATGATTTAACATCAAAGTAGGATATTTATATAAAAACTGTAATTTCCAGCCTGGATTTCACAGTCCCCTGTGAATACCAAGACACTTCCAAGAGATCTCAAGTTGCTTAAAGGAAAGAGGAGGAAATGTGCTACACAGACATCGACTGTTTGAAGTTCTTTAGAAATACCAAATACTTTGAACTCCTCAAGCTGTAGAAATAGAACATGTTGCTTCCATTTATTTATTTTTTTATTTTTTTGTGTGGGGTCATGAGCTAAAAGAGTTGGAAAGTGCTGGCTGAGAAGAAGAAGCAAAATAGAATAAAAGCTGAATATGGTCCGGTATTGAATTATAGAAATGGGTGAAATATATCAGAGACTGTTGTCACCTCAGTGAAAAAGAAGACTGACTGAAAAATTCAGCGATAAAAGGATCTGAAATGTGAGTCAGCGCCCGTCTGAATTGAAATTTTATCTCAGAGAAGTCAGTACAGTTTAATCTATCTTGCTTTCTACCGTCACCCGTACACAAAACGGCAAACTCTGGTTTTGAACGTTCATTTCCCCACGACGTGTATGCATCAAATTCAACATAGTAGTAAATGACATAAGTGAAGGTGGAGGCAGAGGACTGAACAATCCAAATGGAGCAGATAAAAAACAAAAAAAAACAAATAAGGTTGGTAATCAGGTCAAGAGTCATGCACAAGTTAGTGTTAGCTACGGCCAGGTCTGTTAGCTTTTCTTCACTACTAAATGAAATATTTGTATGTATTCAGATTATCCTAATATAATATCGAAATATGTTTAATGGCATCGTAAAACATCAAAACAGAAGAAATGTTTGAGTGGGCAAATATTTGTTTAAAGTGTAAATAAAGGATTTTCTTATGAATGAAAATAAAAGAAACTACATCTATTTCATTATGATTTTAAAATAAAGTACTAAATGACAAGAGATAGATGAGAAAAGTGTAGAAGTACTTTTGTAATCATATTCTTCAAGCCCTAACAAAAGGTCGAACTTGACTCATAACCCTTTGTGAAAACAATAACATGCCGCTTTTCCTTCATGCATACTTAAAAAAAAAATTGCACAGAATAACTTAGAATGCCCTCAAGCTTCATACATATCAATATGATTACAGCAAATATCAGGCAGGGCCTAAATCATTTTATAAGTATCTTACCTTTTGAGTTTGACGAGTGTTCGCAGACAACTTTTGGTCCTCGGAAATCCTGGAAAAAGGCTGCGTTGCCAGGGAAACCAGCATGTAACTCCTTCCTAAAATCCCTTTTCTGTCTCACTTGATTGAAAGAAAGGCGACGTTCAAATCCGGCAGCAATGAGCCCGCAACAGTTGTGCTGAGCTGGATCACAAGCAGGTCTAATAATACACTGGAAAGGCCCCCCAGCAGGAGGAAATCAAAGATCCCTTAAAATAATGTTGCTTTATTCCCCCCGTTGCGGGGCGTGTGTCTTGACTCTTGCGGCTTATATCCAAGAAATCAAGTCAAGGGTTCAGAAATTTAATGGATTCCCGAGGACAGGCAGAAGTTTGGGACGCGTAGAAAGGAGTAGAGAGAGGGAGGTGAACCCTCTGAGAGTCACCCGGCCCCTCTGAGGGTCCAAAATAGAGGCAAAGAGAAAACGAGACAGGACAGCAGCAGGGCTGATGAGGAAAACAATCTAGTTTATTAGCTTCAAATCCTATTAAAGCAATTAGTTTACATCTTGAAATCGTTTATTTGATTCACGTAACTGCATCCTTAACATAATTTAGCAACATCACACTTTGGATTGTTACCTCCAAAATAACAAATGGATTAGTTGTCTCTTCCTGCTCTCTGGATTCTTATGAACTAAACGGTGGCGATACTTTACTCTATGCTGCTCTGACTGCAACTTCTATGTTTTATCCAGGGAAGGTCTCTTAAGAACTCAGGCTGGTCCAGCAGAGGTCAATTTGAGGACTAAATAAGTGAATAAATATTCTGCCAAGCCCCGCATGAGTTTCTAAGCCTTGTCAGAAGCTGTTTCCAAGGCCCATTTGAAATTACGCTGTGTGTGTGTCCATGTGTGAGAGCTGTGGGAGGGAGTAACCTGACCCCCAGCCTTGCCCTGGGAGCCCGCACTGCTGAGGCTATAATTAGAGACGCAGACAGCAGCTGGTGTTAACATTGGAGTGGACTGCTTCAGATGTAGGGCGCATGGAGGCACAGGAACGCTTGCCAGCACCCGAACCAACACAACCCGTGTTTGCTCTGAGGTGAAACTGCACACACCTTTAAAAGACGGAGAGGGACGCCGCGCAGAAAGTTCTGCTCAGATGATTGGCTGGACTTTGAACTGCAGAGAACCGAGAATAGGTTCAAGCTAGAAAACATGCAAAAAAGTTACTGTGTATCATGAAAAGAGACATTTTATTATTATTATTATTTTTTTTTTTTGCATTACAGGATGTGATAAAGAAATATCCTAATGTTATGTTTTTTGATCGGAAGGTAACATCTTCATTATGATTAATCCTTTCTTAACTATCCAGTCACATATTTTTTTCTACATGGATGAATCCAGAAATCATTCTTTATACATTTCACCAAGGGCAATAATATGGTATAAATGTGAAGTGTGGAGCTAAATCAAAACCTGGTTCTTAAATTCTCGTCCTGCAGTCATAGTTTGTGTAACATGCAGCTTTAGCCAGGTAGATTTATGAAACAATAATTACTTTTTCAATTAGTTAGATGGCATCACTGCTTATAAAACTATAGATAAACTTATTCTGATCAAGTGTACTTTCTAAACAGGATTTTGAAGAGATCTGACATGAGACTCCTAGGTGTTTATTTATATATACAGTATATATTTTTTCAGTCAATCCACACAATCACATCCAAATACGACGGATGATCCAGTTTCTAAGGAGGGAGAGTTTTATTGCTTCTCAGAGTCTGGTGCAGGTCAGAAGAATGATGTTTTATCCAGCCACACTTCAGCCTTCTCTGCACCTCGGCTGGTAAGCAAGGATAATTTCACACCTCAGGCAGCTACAAGATGCAGCTGGATATGATGTGACCGAGAAGTTGCTACAGCGCCTCCAGGTGAACTTTCGAAGCTCGTGTTTGGAAATTCAGACCTTTTGATGTTTGCCAGACAGGCAGACGATCCATCTTGTTCTACATAAGTGATGTGTGGATGACGCCTCGAGGACGATGAGACTTTGGGTTTGACTCTGGGGACTGCAGGGCGGATAGCGCGCACACTTTTTAAGACATGGAGGCAGCCTCCAGATTTCTGGGTTAAAAAAAAAAAAGAAGAAGAAGAAAAAATAACGAGACAAATATAACCGAATAGAGGAAGTAGGACGGACACGCGAACAGATCATCACAATAACCTTTTTTGTTAAAGAAGAAGGAAAAATATAATTGTTTTAATTGTCTATTCCTCGTAATGATACATAAAACTGCTAGAAGGGGGTTGTAAACTTTATTCAGACTCTGAAAGGCAACAAATCAGAGTGCCGTAACCTTCGAGTGAACTTTCTACAGTTCTTCCCATTTCTAACAAACCGGTGCCTCAGGCTATTTGGTTTGCTGAACGGCCAAATTCAGGGCAAGCATGAGCGTGTTTGTGTTTAAAGAAATCAGACGTTTTGCTTTGCTTACATGTCTGGAGCTTCAAAGTTACCTTTAAAGGTCAAAATAAAGTAGCACAGGACTCACAAAAGCGTCAAATCTGAATGTTGCCTTTACATTAAAAATGTTTCTAAAGCGGCCTAGAAAGTGAAAATGTTACACTTGAAAGCGGAAACATCTAAAGAAATGTGAATATCATGAAAAAGCTCGAAATGTTTCGTCGCCCACATCGGAAAATGAAACTTATTATATACAGCCGACACACCCAGTTATTGTAATTTTGATGATTGTTGCCTACATATAAAAAAAAAAGCCCACAATTTAATGTCTCAGAGTCCACAAATTGCTTTATCTGACATGAAAGTACTTACAGAATTAAAATGCTTGTATCTTCACCGCGCAGCGCGTTAGAGGTCTTAACCCAAAAAGCACATGGTGAACATGAGGGTGTTAGTGGAGCAGATGTGAGGAACACTGAAGTCATTCATCATGTGTCTGGTTCTCCAGAACTCTCTCTGCTCCCTCATTACTGCCTGACTTCTTCACCCTCCGACTTTCTTTCCTTTCTGGTCTTCGTTTCCCTCCATACTTTCTTCAGCTTCTGACTTTCTGTTCTCCCTTCACCTTTTGGTCCCTTCCGCCTTCGCCTTTCTACTTGTGTTTTGTTACTTTTTTAAAAAAAAAAAAAAAAAAAAAACTTGTTCTCTTTACTTGTGTAATCCTTTACTCATTACTTTCATCTCTCTGCATACTTTGCTCATCTGTCTTTGTCACTATTTATCCTCACTTTGCCTTGCCAGTCCATTCTTCTCACTCTCCGGGACAGAAAACACACACGCCCAACACTTCTTATTAAATTAGTAATAATGTCACCATGCTTCCTCCCAGGAGGCGACTGTTATTGACTTCATTATGCAAATGCAAACCAGCCCAAAGCTATACCACTGATGGGTAAGGACACACATACACAAACTGTTTGTAGGGCAAGTGAGCTGGCCAGGAATAATTTCTTGCTGCTTTTGATAATTATGTCAACCAGTGAAGTTGACGTGTGTATTAACATGAAAATCTACTAAGCCCAAAAAGTCCTGTGGCTTGTGTTGTCTCTCTATTCATGCGACACTGAGGAGTCAGAATAGGATGGACTCAAAGAGAGAAGTCAATAAAACCACTTAATTGTGTTTATATATCAAATATCACATCGATATCATAAAATAGCATCAGTTGTCATTCTTAAATGTGAAGATTAAAGCCATAAGTTTACATACACTGAATCAAAGGACTTTCTCTCAAAGATCTCTTGTTTTAGGTCATTTCGAATCAACAAAATTATTTCTATCTGCAAAATCCCACAACTATAGCGAGATTAAGGGATTTATAGGTTAGCCGAGACTTTATCGTTTTCAACAGTGAAACGTGTCCTGCGCCGACATCAGCTGAAATGCCGCTCAGAGATGAGGAAGCTGTTACTCCAAAAGAAAAATAAAATGAAAATCAAAAAAGAAGCCAGATTACAGTTTTCAAATACGCACATGGGGAAAGATCTTCATTTTTGGAAACAAATCCACTGATCTGATGGCTGTAATGACCTTTAGCCTTGTATGAAAAAACAAATAGTTGTACCATCTAAATTGTGAACTACGGGGCTGGCAGCTTCATCGCAGGCTGTTCTGAGTCGGCACGCTTCATAAAATAGATGCCATCATAAGGAAAGAACACTATGGAGCAAAATATCAGCCATTAAACCTGGTGCACAAACGAGTCTTTGAAATGAACCCAACGCATACGGCTTTGACTGGCTACGAAGTGGCTCGGATAACAAAGTCGATGTTTTGCTGTGACCAACACAAAGTTCTCATTTTCATCCTATGACGAAGTTGTGGACAGATTTGAAAAGGCGGCGTGTGAACAAGGCGGCCCAAAAAAAAAAACTGACTCATTCTTTTCTGTTCTGAGTTTTTGATCCACTGCGGAGTCACATTTTTGAGCCGTGCCATTACTAAAATTCCCAGTGATTTTGTAACACCCCAGGAGGATAAAAAAAAGAAAATCAACGGATGTAAAAGCCAAAATGGACGTGTCCAACATGCACCGCTTTTGCCAGAGAGCTTCCACGTCTTTTATAGTTTGGCCAGGAAGTTGGAGCCCTCTCATCTCTGAGCGCGATCAGACAAACACCCAGCTCTGGCACCGGCTGCAAAGAGTTGAGCCACTATATGCTGTGCTTTGACACAAATTCACAGACCTTCAAGCATCCCCGCGGTGCGTACAATACATGCACAGGCCTGAGTATGCGAGCACACAGTTTCTGCCACGCTACTGGCAGTGGCAAGGAGGACAGATGGACAGACTGCAGAGAGCGGAGACGAGACGGAAATTAAAGTCACAGTTGAGTAATTAGAGTTTGACGTCTGACTCTATGTGGCGTTTATGACTGAATAACATTTAGGAGATGTCGTGTTCTTGAGCTTTATCTGTGTAGATATGATATATTTATATTGTAAAATAACATATTGTTAAAGAACGTATATGCACTTTGGAGTAAATGTTCTTGAGTCAAATAATTTATTCAACTAATTTATTACAGCTCAAACTGTAATAAAGTAGTATTTCTGTGCTAAAACACCTCAGAATTCAT